AAGATAACAGAGATCAGTCAAACTTGAAGTATTGTTTCACGWGGCAAAAAATAGCTAAAGTATCAAAAGCCTTTGCCTCTTTGTTAAAACAAACTACTCCCCTCACACCCACCCTTTACTAACTGTCCCTTTCACAAAGACAGCGCCAGGCGAACATTGATCTAAACTGTTTGCAGCAGAGCTCGGTGCTTTCTGTTTGCGCAAGTGGCAATTGCAGATGCGCAGCATAATTGATGTGACTGCTCTAACYAGCTAGAGGCTAAACTGCAGCCAGCTCCCTGTCCTTTCTGGGGTTTTTTTGTTTTGTTTTGTTCTTTTTTCCCTTCCAAAGGCCGATAATTCACCAGATGTGGGCAGAATATCTGTGAGAAAAAGCACAAGCCAAGTCTGTCCTCAGATAACCCACTGTTGTATTTCTTCACCTGTTTACTGCACATGGAATTAAGATTGCTGCTTCTTACTTAGACAGTGTTAGAGCTTCTCAGCAAAACTGGTTCATGATTCTCATTTAAAATAAAAAATCTGGCTAAAACTCAGAAATTCATCCCTATGCAGACTTCTAGCAGAGACCGTGTCCACCTAAATGACTGGTGCTTGACGGAGTGGTTGACAGCTGAAACCTGTTCTTGAGGTGAGACCTGTTGTGAAGCGTTTGAGGTGAGCCCTGRTGACAAAGCAAGTTGTGCCTATAATAAGAACCCAGTCTTGGGGATCTCGCATGCTGCTGCAGTTATCACCAATAGACAATGCAGGACACTATCCTTGTAGTGTCCTTGTAGGAAGGGCTGCAGGCACAGCTGCCTCTTCCTGTTCTCTCTCATCATGTATGGAGAAGCTGCAGCAGCTCCCAGTATGTCTTACACACACAAAAAAAATATATGTATTTAATAGTTTTCACATTTTTCACATCCAGGATGTAGATTAAGGATGTTTTGTGCCTTCTCTTTCTGTTCATGTGAGGTTGCTTACGAAGTACATTTCAATAATTAATCTTCAAAACACATCTTTTATTMTTTTTTAAACTCAAAAGAAAATGTGGGATGAAAATGAATGGTTGACCCACAATAAAARCGTCCAGTGAGCCCAATGCCAGGTCACACAGAGCTACCTAAAACAGCTTAGTAGTTGAAACACTGGAGCTAATTTAGTTACAGATCAATTCCAAGTTTTCACATCCTAGTCTCTACATGGCCAAGCGTTTTGCTGTAATGATAGCAAAAAAACCAAAGATTTTTGCTGGAACTACTGAACAAATGAATTTAATTTGTAAATATTGCGCACTCCCAGGGAAGAWGTTTAATCAATATCAAATCAAATAGAGATGTTATCTCACACGCTTACTGTCTGAGTGACTAATGGCCAAAATCACAGCTCTTTTCAGCAAGGTGGTTGCTACTAGGCCGGGGCTCAGAAATACCAGCCACTTTTGAAAACTTTGGCAAGAAATGTTTCASCATTTCTTTATGTTGGCAAGGATTTTGTTCCTGACAAACTTTTGTAGCTCTGTATTAGGCTTCGATCCTCGTTTTCCTTATTTGGGGAATTTTTCTCGTGATTTCATTTCTTCTTGCCTATTATCTTGACTCATTATATTTTTAACTCAAAGAAACCTTTACGCTTGCTACTAAAAAGGGAGAATGACTTAAAAGATATCAGAAAAAATGTTACTTGAATTGTGTTAGTTCACATTTTATCTTTTAAGGTGGTTTTCGTGATGTTTAAATCTSTTGTAATTATACATCATATTGTCTGAATTATAGAGACTACATATGTATATTTTTTTGATAATGCTTATCTTGAAGCACTTGCGAGGAAAAGGGAAGGGAATAAACAAAAATCCGTAAAATAAGTGTTGGTCTAAGCCTAACTGCTGGAATAAGTCAGTATTAAACTGGGCCAGGGATAATGAAGGGGTGCTGCATTAGATGGAAGTGAGAGAACTGTAAGTACTTGCTTTCACTGTTGTTTTTATGGTTATTTAGCACTTTAAGAACGTTTTCAAAATTTCYTTTTATGAGTTCATTTTCTAGGCATGGTTTATTTTGGAAAATGTCTTTTCCTTCCTAAATACACGGTCTGAAATTTTCAAGGCAGGTGTTTAGAGGAATTCTAGTACCAATTTTAAGAATGGACTGAGTTAGACTGGGGCCTGGGGGCAGAACGTAGATGATTTGTGGGCAGCAGGGGTTTGTGCTCCCTTACACCTGCGTTTCTGTATGTCGGTAGCACCAGGTCTAGAGGGTGCTTGATAAGGCACTTGGGGCCTGTCTCCTACAAATGTACAACAGCTTCAGGACTGTTGGGGTCTTCAGTTTCCATTGCTTCATGGTCAGATACGAGACACAACATCGGTGTCTTCTGCACTGAGAGAACACATTTGCTTGGACAGGAAAGAAAACTCTGGGAAGTTTTGTCTCTAGAAACAAAATCCGAGGAAGGGAGTGAAGAGGTTTTTTAAGGTGAGCTGTCGTGGCAAGTGAAGTGYCTCAGCAAACAGTACAACAGAACAAGACTGTATGGCATTAAGTCCCCTAATAGATGCCAAAGAAATGATATTATGGTAGAAGGATGTCTCCTCTGATTTTTAAACCTTTCTTTGGGAGAGGTGGAGCAGGCTGCCTGTGCTGCTCAGAAATCATAGGCCCATGCAGTTGCTCTAGAAAGGCTCTTTTAAGAAGCGCTAGTGCAAGGGAAGGCTGCTGAATGGGACCAGGAGTGCTGAATTACTTAAGAGTATGTATTCTGTGTTTGTGGTTGCAAGCTTTGTCCTCCAGCTTCGTTTATTGGCATGCTGATGCTATGAGATGTAGAAAGTACGAGATTTGTTCACAATCAGCTAGGTGAACTCAAGAGACCTTGGTATGAACACTGTTCATAGTTACGTGAAGGCTTATTGTTAACATGGGGTGTAGTATAGGAAAGGAAGCAGCGAAATGGTGGGGCTAGTTAGAGATGGATGAGGAGATGACCCTGTTTGGGCAGTGCTGCTCCAAGCCCGTGTGATGGCTTCTGTGGGCCCTTGTTGGTGTCATCCGTGATTGAGAACTTGTGCTGTGCCCACAAGGTCAGTGTGTGTTCAGAGGTCCTTTCTTTTCAATAATTTCKCTTCAGCAAAGAGCTGTGGGAGTATACCACTTTATTCATGAAGCTGCAGAATGAAGAGAGATTGCTGGCTTCCCCTCTGCTGTCCCCAGAATTTCAATTTAAGACAAAGATTATCTGCAGGATTGGCACCTGGAAGTTGGAAGGATGCAGAGCTAATTTGATAAAGCTATCTGCTCTTTTTGTGTGATGAAAATTCTTTTCTAAATGGAGGTTTCCAAAGACATAACAAAAACTGTTTTAAGATGAATGTATCCTATTAAAAGTAACTGTAAAATTACGCTGGACAGCAAACCCCATCTTTGAATGTTGAAGTTCACATTCATCTTCAAAGACCCAATACTGAAATAATATCTCCCGATGTGATCAGTAGATCCTTATTTCAGATAATTACCCAGCGTCTTGGAAACAGAAGGAAGTTTATTTCTGACTGTGCAAATCTAGTACAGATTTTGTCTTTTAATACCAGAATTCCAAAAAGTCAGAAGATCAGAATATCTGTATTCCAAAATATAATRCATTCACTTAGAATTATTCTACACACAACGCAGCTCTGCACTAGTGTAGGAGAATGAAGCTTTGAATTTGTTTGGCATATCGTAGTGCAGAGCTCCCGATWTTTTCTTTACATAGGGCATACAGTGAAGAAAATAGTAAGCTGTTCCCTCATTGGGGTTATTATAGTCTAGATAGTTTGCATTTATAACTGAAGATGCTTTTATTTATGCTTAGAATGGGAACAATTGTAGTGTGTGTTCCCATTAAATAAGAGAAAAAACAGCACTAAATATTAATAGATAGTTGAATATGTAACAAACCGCTCTTGCTTTTGCAAATTCCAGATGCCCTGCCCTTCCCAGACCAGTACCTTCTGAAGCAAGCGAGACCTGTGATTTTGCACCTGCAAAACCTCCCTCAAAATAATGGCCATATTGACCATAATGAAAACAATTTCCCAGGGCTGAGTGTAGGGGGAAGGGGAGAAGATGAACATCTTTAGCTCTCGGCTGTCATTGCGTGCAGCGTTCATCTGTCCCCCTCGCTTTGACAAAACCTGTGCTAAGGACWAAACAAGTATTTTGAAAGTAATGAGTTATTCTTCACCTAAGAATCTGTGGTGTGGATGTTTTTGACTGAAGCTGGTATAGTGGAGGGAGGAAAGACTTAACTCTATCCTAGTGTGTTTTGGGGACAGCTACCCGAGTAAAATGCAGGGCTCTTTATGTCTTGGCAAAGGGAGCCCGGGAACACGTGGGGCGCTCCCGCTAGCAGCTCGGCTCCTCTCTCSCAGCCACAGCAGCGGAGATGGGGTGAGGAGCTGCTGATGTTTTGTTTACAGGACAGCTGAATTTAAATGAGCAACAGTGGGAGCGCGGAGTAATTTTATGTTCTTTAGCACATGTGGGTGTTTTTTTTTTTGCATATCCAGGTTTGCTTCCAGCAAGTTGTACATTACGCCCACCTGCCTACCCAGCTGAGAAAAATAATTGAATTTTGCTTGAGAGAGAGGGGGTGGCAGGTAACCCTTTTCTTAAGAATTCAAGAAAAATATGAATTAAAGTTGATAGATGAAATCTTTAAGGAAAGAATGTTGTAAGAATTTACATTTGACCTTTCTGTTTGGACAYCTTGAAGTCCATTTCCATTGCTAGAGTGGCCTGGCAGGTGAATTGCAATTAAAGATAGAGCAGAAGAGCTGAAGTAGTGAAAGCTGGAGATGCAGGTCTCTTGCAGTTCTGTCTGTTGCATAGAAGTGCTGGAGAAGGCTTGAAATCCTTAGTTTACTGAGGCAATACCCTGCTAACCACAGAGCCAAGTTCCTCGGAGCAATGCATGAGCAGTGACGATCTAGATTCCTTCTGCCCAATGTAAACTCTGATTTTCCTTCTTTTCTGCAGGAGGGGAAGTGCCATACACAACGCTGGCGACCCGGCTGATGATGGGAGCTTGGTGGCTTTTTGCTTTGATCGTTATCTCGTCCTACACAGCAAACCTGGCAGCTTTCCTCACCATCACTCGCATAGAGAACTCCATCCAGTAAGTCCATAAGGAATGGGCTGAGAGGAATGAGTTTGCATGAACACATGTGGGAGCGCCTTGATGTATAAATGCAAACTTAAGCTAAGGAAGTAATGATACTCCTAGGCTCTCTGGAGACACAATACCTTCAGGATCAATCAGAACTRTTCTTTCACCACATTACCCAATCCTCCTGTTCTCATCCTTCTGCCCATTGCTGCTTTTGCTCCATGTCTCCCTAACATGTTGTCCTTGTCCTCTGCTGCTTTTATGGTTAACTGTTTCTGTCAGATCTTCCAATTGTTCTTTCAAAATGTTTTCATCTCTCTGTGCCACAGGAATGTTCCCAAGGTCTCCTATGCGTTACTTCTGTCATTTGGTTTTTAGTCACCCTCTCTCCCGCCTCCCCAGTGGCCTCCTACAAGTGGAGTAAAGCAGTACTTACCCAAGGTCTCCAAAGAGTTTCTTGCACTTTTTCTTGTTCTTKGAGTGTGAGAGCAAGGAGGTGGTGTCCTGAGGACAAGTGCACTTGTCTACAGTACCAGACCTTATTGGTTAAAAATGAAGTGTCTCYAGTGGTTGTTTTTACTTTCTGGCACCGTCGTCCACCTGAGGACTGCACACTTTGYGAGAGACACATGTAAAACAGGCTAAAATCACCAAATAAAATAATTTACCTGTCCCAGTTGCATTAACAGCTAAGTAGAGTTACCATTTTCCTTTAAGAWCAGAAAACTAGTCTTGGAGATCAGGGGGTGCTGCAGGGGTCTTGTGACACAACTGAACTGTTTGACTTGGCTCTCCCAGGTCTAGGAGAGTAAAATGAAATTCTGTGTCCTTGTTTGTCAGCATTGATTTGGAGGTTTTTATTTATTTTTTAAAAGTTTAATCAGCCTTAGGTTTGACCAAGGAGCGTGAGGAAACAACAGGAGCATGCAAAATAACTAATGATGAACTTGTGCCTATATATGTGGTCATCTAACTTGTCCTTACAAATATCCAGTGCATCTCTGTATCCTACTTCGAAATTGTGCCCTTTCTGATTTTGAAGTAAAATTATAGAATCCTTAAGGCTGGAAGGGACCTTTAGAGATGATCTAGTCCAACCCCCAGTAGTCCAGAAAAATGTTCAAATGGCCAAAAAGTGTCCAGGCYTGCTCATAATAGATAAAGAAAGAGTAAAATTGCTCAAGCCGTAATTTAAGACATCTCTAGCTTTTCCTTGAAGTTTATTATGTTGCCACCAGAAAACCCTCAGTGGAATTGTGAAGTTATTATATACAGTTGGGACCACATTGGTCTTTGTGCTGTATTATTTATGGGCAAATTCACTGAAAATGTTTTATTCAGGAGAAAACGTTGCAGCTGGAGAGCCCCTGAAATGAAAGAACAGAGGCATTTTGCAGCAGTGTTTGTAGCTCAAAAATAGAGTAATTAGATGTGCTAAGTACCCATTAGGGAATGAAGTTATCCTAACTGTGCTGGGAGTGTAAAACTTTAGTTTACAACACTGCCAAAATAGGAACTCAAACCAGCACTAACAGAGGGGCTGTTTGTTTACTGCGCTGAGTTACTGCAAAGTGGGAAACACAAATAAGCAATAAAGAAAAAAGCTGATGCTCTTTTTTAAAAAATAAAGGGAAGCGAAAAAGATATGGATCAGATTGTACCTTGGGGAACTTTGGAGGCCAGAATGGAAATGGATTTAAGTATTTAAAGAGAATACAACAGCTTCTGCTTGTTGTGATATCCAGCCAGCTTTGAGGAAGTCAAATAAATGAAAGAGAAGTCACTGGGTTTGCAGACATAAAAATGGTTAATAGGATTTCATTTTAGATTTCTAGCCAGCACCAGATAGCGTGTGTTGTTGAAGGTGCTGTCCTAGTGATATCTCTTACAAAAGAGAGGAGGATTCGGAGAGCCCATGACGTGTTTTGTGCCTAAGAAACACTAGGGTTCTCTACTGCTTTCAAAGCAAAAGCTTTCAGTTTGATTTCAGAGCCCTTTCTGGTTCCCTTTTAATACTGCTGTAATGGTTGGGGCTGTCGCCCGAGTCAGAGCCTCATGGTATCCAAAAGCCTAGTCTGAGAAGAAGAGCGCACAAAACTTCGTTAACAAATGCACTGGGAAGAGCGTGGGTAAGGCTGTCTTTCCCTAGACGGCCTCAACGTTGGATCCCCAYGCCTTGGATGTTGATGCTTCTCAACGTCACTGATTAATTTGGATCAGATAGGTCGATGTTTTAAATGAGCCAGAGGAAGGAGAAGGATAAAAGAGGAGTGTAAGTCTCTTCAGCTGCTTGGGCAGCATCCACAGCTAGAGGTTCCTCCCGCTCGTTCCTCCATGCATCTTTTATTCACACTTGACCCAGATGCAGATGACGTTCAAAATCAAGACAGGCACTGTTTCCTGCACCGGAGTAGTGTGGCAGGCTAAGAATAGCAAACAGCAAAGCATAACTTAAATCTTTCCTTAAATCTTCAGATCGCTGGCTCAAATGCRACGTGGATGGATGGTCGTCAGGAGTGGCTTTTCTTGGTAAATGACCAAGAAACCTGGGGGCCTCAGGCTGTTTGTGGTAGATGCCGATGCTGGGAATTTCCTTACCGAGGCACTTGGATCATTCCTGTGTCTTACCATTTACTATGGCAGGAAGGATGGTTTTTCTYCGAGTTAGGTGCGCTGATTTCACGGATAAAGCGAAGATATCGCTCAGAAGGGAATTTAGTAGGAAGGTTGCAATGGGGGAATGAAAGAAAGGAAAAAGGTAGGATTTGTCATAGGAGTGCCAAGTCTTGGGTGGCTTCAAGATCAAATCTAATCCAGATAACCTTAGAAAAATGTAGATACCTGATTAAGGTTTTAGATTGCAGGCGTTGTGAGGGAGAGTCTGTGTCTTGAAAGCCTCTACGAAATAATAAATGGACGCTACGTTCTCCAAGCTGTAAATAGTGCCTCCTACTTGACAGGTGAGATCTGTGCTCCGAAATAAGGAAAATACAGTACTAAAGCTGCCTTTGGTCACACTTGCTTGGACTAGTCATCCTTCTCGCCACTTTTTTTCCTCCTAAACCATGATTCACATTAAGCTGCGATGTCCCCAGGGCTTTACCCAGCTCGATATGACTGCTTGCTTATTTTCTGCAGGGGGGTTGCACACCAATTCTTTAGCAGTAATTGGAGGAGATATTTCCTTGCTCTGAGAAACAGAGTGTTCTTTAACCTTTCCCGTTGTGTGGCTCGTGCAGATCTTTAATCTAGCAAGCAGGCAATATTATTAGTTTCTGACACAGCTGCTACTGCCAGCAGTCAAATCTCTCAGCTTACTGTGCCCTGCTTCCTAAGCCTGCCTCTGAATTAATCCTTAATGTCCCAGAAAAAGGAAAAATACATAGGAAAGCTTTATCTGAATTAGTCATAAATAAAGGCTTCAGTGAAAGCAATCAGATCAGTTGTTTTCTCCTAATATTTAGTGGCTACTTTCTTGCAGGCAGTTATATGCAGCAGACAAGTCTAATAACACTGGTAGCCAAAATGAATCTGTAACCCAGATCTACAAAGGTCTTTTGATGCTTAGCTCTGCGACATCAGCGGGAGCTAATCGCCTAAACAGGGATTTAGTTACTCCTTTATGGAACTGGCCTTTTTTATATATGTTCCGTGTACTTTTTAACCACGTCGGTGGGYGTACATAAACAATGTATTACCAATCCCATATTTGGGATTTGAATTGATAGGAGAAAATATAATTTGAGGAAAGAAATATTTGCCCAATATAACCTAGGATTTTTTTTCAAGGCTAAAACAGAGCCTTKTTTTTTTTTTTTTTTTTTAATTACTAAAGAACCCTTCTGCTTCCTGCTTCAACTTGTATCAAGGCAGAAGATGAAAGCAACCAGACAACTGCTACCCAGCTAAGGTAGAGAGCAGTAAACATGCTCAACAAATGCAGAAAAATACATGTAGTTGTGATAATTTGTCCTCAACTTAGTTGATTCTTCCTCAGAAACAGACCTACAATGTCGCTAATCTTATATAGGGTAATTCTGGTATTATCCTAATGATTGCAGTGAGAAAAAATAAATTTCATAGTGTTTTTTTCCACAATGCTTTATGAGTGATAACCAAAACTGAACTGCAACTTGTTCATTTTACTGCATGGTCCCATTTAGTACCCATTCCCTTTAAGTAGAATTTCTCTCTGTAGAGGCTCAATTAAGCACGTTTTATTTTATAGCAATTTTTTCAATTTTATTGCTTCTTTATATCTCCATTTTCAATTCTKCAAGCATTATTATCTTATTGCTTCTAAATTGAGACATTTGAATAGATAAATCTCTGAAAAGGTTGGATAATAGTACCCGTAGTCATGCTAGATGTTTGCTTTGCTTTTCAGGTATTTGTACTGAGATCAGTAAAACTACCTCAAAATTAAGTTACTATCCGCTGTGGCTGATGGTATCCAACCTGGAGAATGAAAGAATAACCCTGCATGAATTCAGCAACTTGGCAAAATACTCGTTTATTATTTTGACTCCTCATCTGGCAGCTGAATGGTGGGGCAGGGTGATACAGTGTGGCTGGTGATTTACATCTCCGCTAGATGTATTTGTCTGAACAGAGAATGAGTCATTTAATCCAAGAATAAAGGTACATGAGGCAAAAAGAAATATGTACGTGTAACTGGGAGGCTAGGCTGGAGGCAAAGTAGTGATAAAAACTCTTTCTTCTGGAAAGGACCCTCAGTGGTTTCGTAATTTTACTTGCTCTGTCAAGGTTTGTCATTTTTGCTTTGTTTTCCCGTATCTTGGCTGCCAGGTTGTGAATGTCACCCCAGAAGCCTGCGGAGGTGCAGGCTGTAAAACCAGTTTCAGAGGCAGATCATATATATTCTGTGACTTTTTATTTTGCGAGGGAGATGAGGTCAGTGATGCAATAGCCCTTTCCCCTTTTTGAACCTTCGAGTCGTGGGCATGAGCGTGCACGCACATACACACGTGGGAGCCCGGAGAGCCCCTTTCCTGCTCGGTAGAGTGGGGCCAGGTGAAGCAAACTTGGGGTGTCCTGTGGACAGCAGTGCCCGACGCCTGCACAGAAATTGCCTCTCTTGTGGATTTCTCCATGCACTGTGGCACCTGCAACCGTGTTAACTCTTGGCTGCAGTTCTGTAGGTGTTGGCTTTGGAAAGGGGGGCTCAGTGGTTTTCCTACAGTTTCTTAGCAGCGGGTATGGCGAATAACACGCCAGTTGCAGGGCGTTACGATCCACCGAGAAGTTGATGGGTGGCAGCAGCAGTGACGTGGAAGGGGGGGAATATACTGTCCTGTGTTTAGCTAGTGCCTTTCATCAGCAATGCTGTTGACAGATATATAGAGCATTAAAGTGACAGTAATACAGCTCCTTCTGTGCCTGAAAGTGAAAGAGTGAAAATCCTCAGCAGGACGCGTGCCCATCTCTGCATAGGCGCTCCTCCAAGCTCAGGCCGTATCCCTGCAGCAGGGTTTCCTTTCCAAGTGCAGGGCTTTGCTTTTGTCCGTAGTGAATTCCATCATGTCCCTCTCGACCTCTCCTTCAGCCTCTCCAGACCTGTCTGAATGGCAGCCCTGCCCTTGGTGCCATCAGCAAACTTGACAAGGGTGTTCCGGGTTTTTGACCAAGGACCCCTCTAGTACTTATTACTAGCTTTCAGGTAGGGGACAACTCAGTAACTGCTACTCTCTCAAGCCAGTTATCCATCCCCATTTTTATCCAAGAAATTTTTCACTCATCCAGACCATAATGTCCTAAAATAGAAACAAATATGTTGTGGGACAAGCACCAAAAGTCTTGGGAAAGTCAAGATAGATGACATCCATCCCTCCAGCCTTGACCACAAACCCAGATGTTTTATCATAGAAGGCCAAGAGGTTGGTCAGGCGTGAGTTACCCTTTCTGAATCTGTGCCCCACCACTTCCTTCATGTGCCTGGAGATGTGCTCTGACTTGCTCCCCATGATTTTTTTCAGAAAGGGAAGCAAAGGCATCATGATCAACCTGTAATTCCCTGAATCATTCTTATGGTCTTTTTCCAAGATAGCCATTATATTTGATGTTCTCCAAGGGTTAATCAAGGGTCTTTTCCAACCTTTTTTCGCCTTTCAGAGATGATAGCAAGCAATCTTGCAAGGGTGTTGTCCAGCTGTCAGCATGTTTGGGTGCAGTCCATCAAATTCCATGGACTTTTGTGATTCAGGTTGTTTCAAGCAGTCCCTGCCTCAACCCTCACCCACTGCTAGATACTCATCACTCCTTTGAATCCTGCCTGTAATCAGAGAGGCCTGGGAGTGCTTGCTGATGAAGACAGGTGCAGAGAAGGTTTTGAGTAGCTCTGCTGCATCTGTTGTAACCAATTCACCTGATAGGTCAGCATTTTCCTTGCTCAGCCTTTTAATTCTGCAGAAGCCCTTCCTGTAACCCTTGATATTCTTGGAGAACATCCACTGTAGCTGRTCTTTGGCCCTGCTAAAGCCATCCTGGCTTGACCTGGTAAGACTTCTAAATTCTCCCTTTGTAGCCTGTCCCTTCTTCCACCTCCTGTGTTTTTTCTCATGAAGACCTTCTGAAAAGTGTAGTGGGTTTTTTTTGGTAATTTCAAAATATAATAGGTGATTGAATTGCTTTTCTTGATGAAATCTTGTGATTGTGCCTAATCCTCAGGATTGATCTTAAAAATTGTCTCAGTCCTTGTTATGGTTTATAAAACAGGAGTATAACATCTTAGCTCTTTTCTTCTGCAGTTCTCCTGATCAATGCTAGTGCCTTTAAGAAATAATTTATGAGTGGCTGTAATGAGATTTCTCTTTTTTGCCAAGAGCTGAGCCATTGGATATATTTTTTTTCTTTTAGAACTCAGAGATGTTTCTATCTGAACTTGATAACTTTTATTTTTTAGTTTACAAATTGGGTACAGAGTTTATTCTGCTGGTGCCTTGAGCCTGTAGTCTCACATTTATCTTGCTAGAAAAGGGTAAGTTTCAGCAAGTCCTCAGATATAAGACCAATAGATTTGACTTCACCTAAAGTTTCATCTAGCATCTCATCTTTGATGATCTTGTATATGCACTGATTCTCTGCAGCCTCCCTTCTTCCTGTGTTCTTGAAGAAGAATATCATCTTATTGGAGAAAAGGAAGATTTATTTTTTTMAAAAATAGATATTTGCTCTTTAAAATTAATTTTATTCCTCTTGATAGTAGCTATATATTATCTGCTTAGAATTTAGCTCTTGCTCGGTGTTTTTCTAAACCCATATGTCTGAATTTCAAAGGATTTCTTTTTGGCTCAGCTAACCCCTAAACCCTTGCCACTGAGCTATATCGATCCCTTCTTTCTTTCCCTGCTTCCTGTTGTGTGCAGTGGCACACACATCCTTTCAGGTTTGATTACTGCTTTCCTAAGTCTCACCCTTGCAACATCTAGGAACTGTATTTGTCCCCTCTCTGAGGGGACTAACCTCTTTATTTATTATCTGCACTAGCCTCTTTATTTACGTGTTTCAAAACGCAGTGTGCAATTGGCTAAGTTGCATACATTTGTATTTGCTTTTGTGTGTGTATGTGGCTGTTGCAGTTTGCTGTTGCCTGCTTTAAGACAGCACTCAGCCCCTTGACGTGTCGTTCATTAGATTTGTGCAGTTTATACAGGACTAATTTGTGCCAGGAAAGCTGTAATGGGTTTTAGGCACCGGAGATATTGCAGTAGCTATCTTGAAGCTGTAATGAATGCCACTGAAGAAATAAAGATGGGGCACAGCAACACTGTAATAAAGGAAATAAAGGCCAAAAGGTGTAGATGCTTTAAGGGATTCTAATATACTTTTTTAAGGTCGAGGAAGGATTGATAAAGCCATATTTGGGATGCCTGGAAACTTCTAAACTAGTTCATTTTAGTTTATAGAGAGCGGGTAATTCTGGATAATATATAAARCAAAGCCAGTTTATCAGACAAATGAACATGAAGCGTCAGTTCACAAAAGCCTCCCAGGAGTCTTGCTCTTTCTGAATGATGCCTGGTGTGTGATGGGTGTCGTGCACCAGAGAGCTGCTTCTTGCCCTGTGAACGGGGAGCCCCAGGGCAATCCTCGCCCCCAGGGGCTGGGTTTCTATTGCACTGCTAATTCACTGCGTGTGCTTGGAGGGCCTGAAACGCTCCACAGGGCTCTTGGTGTTTGACAGTGTTACTCCTTCTGTTGCTTTCCATCCATCTTCCATTTCCTACCCCTGCTTTTCGCTTGGTATTCCACTTCACGTTCCTCTTTRTGACTTAAAACATTTTTCCAGCCTCACATTGTCAGGAAAGGCTGGACAGCTGCCTTGCCGCGTGTTGCCCTTTGCCTGCCTGCAGCTCCTTCCTCTTCACACCATGGCTTCAAGTCTCCTGTGTCTCTCTCTCTCCTTCCCCAACACTTTAGGTCTCTCCAGGACCTCTCCAGGCAGACGGATATTCCTTACGGCACGGTGCTGGACTCCGCCGTCTACGAGCACGTCCGGGTGAAAGGGATGAATCCTTTTGAGAGGGACAGCATGTATTCCCAAATGTGGCGCATGATTAACCGAAGTAAYGGCTCCGAGAACAACGTTTTGGAATCGACCGCGGGCATCCAAAAGGTACTGCTAATGCCTACTAGTTCCTTCCCGTTCGAGATGCTCTGTTGCACTGCCAGGTTTGCTTAATTTTTGCTTTTAAGTAGTAGAGGTGCACTTGCACCCACATACACCCAAGCTTAGCATCAGTTTCTGCAAGGCTAATAAGCAACCTCTTGTATCAGCGCTGAGGAGTGGGACTTATGAGCTAGGGAGCTTGTTTTCAACCACATCTTGAAATATAAGCACCTACAGTATTTGTATTTGCTCTAGAAGGGATTTATGTGTTCGAAAGATGAAGGCGTTTGTCAGGATGTAAAATGGGAATGGGTTTTCAGAAGATCAATGTACCATACAAAGCTTAACGTAGTTTGAATACAAGACACTGATTAACTTGTTTTTGTAGGGTTGTGACATGAAAAACCTCGGCTTCCAGGTGTAGCTCTGAGTAATATTTGTTTTGAGAAAGGCAGGCAGAAAAAAAGATGGCCTTGTTGAGAGAAAAAAAAGTCACAGGCAGCGAGTTGAACACAGGGGACGTGAATTAAGAGCAGTAGTCAGCTTTTGTCGCTACGCTTGTGAGCACAGTGTTTCCCTCCCGTGCTTTTGATTGACATCTACAACTCGTGTAGGAACAGGCAGCGGCCCGTGACAGGGGCCAGAAGGAGACTGAATATTGGTTAAGGAGTGACTAGGCACAGACTTGATCTCTGGCGCTCTGTCCTCACGCCACGTTTTAAATTGAAATCTCCATAAAGCTGCTGTTTTGTAGACCTGAGTTTAGACTTTGAAATGTGAAGACTAATTAAAATTAGAACAAATATACATGCAGTTTTGTATTTGCTTGCCTAAAAAATGGTTTTAAAATCATCTACAGACTTATAAAAAGCTGCGCAAAGTTCTCCTCTCCTTTTTGTATCAACTGAAAGCCACTTGCAGAGGAAGCTGATGTTTTAGCACTTGATACAAGCACATAAGAGTCTATTAAAAAAAAAAAATAGATGAAGTCACTGGTGATATCTTGATCCTAAAAGTATCAAGAATATCAGAATAGCAAAGATGGTTTGGGATTTTAAAAAATCACTAGTCTGTCCCTCTGTATAACCGAGATCATATTTTCCCATCTGAAAGGCTAAGCAGCATGGAAAAAGGCCTGAGAGGTGCCAGGGAACTGGACTCCTGAAACCCCATTTAGAAAAAAAAGWACACAGGCTGAAAGAGCAGGTAGAAGAGACAGAAGATTTATTGGCTGGAGAAAATTGTGCCTTTGAGAAATGTACTTTAGTTCAGTTTGTATGGGCTGATAAAGATGCGTTGCTCCTATAAGAACAAAAACCCAAACCTTCTGGCTGGCTGTCCTAAGATACATTAAGGGTTTCAAGAGAATCCAAACCAGGACACATCAAACCCATTTGTGTGTTGACTAATAGCATTGAGCTGAAAAAAAAAGCCACCGGTGCATCGTGATGGCAGGTAATTCCAGATTACAGCTTGCGATTGCTGATTCCTGGCAACGGGGCAGTTGCTGTCTGAAAAGCTATAAAACCAGCACTGTTGGGGCTCTGTAATTTCCCATACCGCTACTTTCCAGGAATAGCCAGTTGCAAATGGTAGCATCCAAGAACCACACTTTGGAGCAAGCTGGCAAATAAGCCAGTTTCCAATTTATAATAGCAGAAAGATGGGCTGATGGCAGTGAGCATACTTTTGGGCCATTTCTGTCCCTTTTATTTTGTTTTGCATTACAGAAGAAAACCAGTGCCTTTTTCCATTTCTTGGTTATGAGCTTTTATCAGTGCTGTTCTCCTCATAAATCAGACACATACATGTCCCTGTGTGTGTGTGTGTTCCTCTTCCATGCATACAAATGCAATGAACAGCCTCGGGGCTGGCTAAGGAGCAGCTGGGTAGATTTGCCCTGAGGAGACAGTGGAGCTGCGGATACCTCCAGTAGGAAACAGCTGGAAAAGTGCAGGCAGCTTAGGTATTTGCTGCTGCTTGTTGTCTCCTTTCTCGAAAGACAACACAAGGACAACAGTAAATCTGAACTGAAGGAATGGGAGCTTTCAGTTGTTTGTCCTGCCTTGTTGAAACAAAATGGACGTGGAGATATCTGCACACAGTCTATATATGTTTGGATTATTCTGCAGGATATTCATTTTTTCTTTGTTATTTCTTAGTGTTCGTGTATCTTTKWTTTTTTTTTTTTTTTTGGAAAGGTTATGAAATATGCATCTCATTCGGTCTAAAGGATCTCTCTTTTCACGGTGGTTATTTATTTGGAGGGGATTTATGGAGGCCCAAGTCATGCTTGCTTAAACATTCATTGAGGGACTCCAAGAAAAAGCATTTAGGCTTAAACATATCACATTACATACCTCTTTATGTCTTCTTAAAAAGCACATTACCCTACTTAATCCTTTACAAGCACCACAGGCTTTCTGATCYTTGGAACTGTGCCCATTTAAAATATAATGAAGCGCTTCCCTCGTGCCCTTGTCTGCTCCCGCTTCCCTGGAGCGTGTTCATGCCTAATGCCCTATCCTGCCCACGTTGTTCCTCGGAACACAGYGCCGTGGCCTCCAGCGTCTGCGTTTCTCTCAGCTGTACCAAGTGGCAAGGACCTTTCAAGCCGCTCTATATTTAACTCCATATACGAAAAATATTTAGCCAGTTGGAAGCTTGTGAGTGACTGTCGAGTGAAATAATGCCTCTGGGTGCAGCAAAGGAAGAAGTGGGTTTTAGTCTCCGGGTTCCAGAGCATTAGTATTCCCTCTTGGACGCGGCCTTGGAGGAAACGTGGCCCTCAGGTTCTCATTTTTCTTCTACATGATCTTACCTGCATAGTCGCGGGAACACGTGAGCAGCTGCTGAGCTGGCTCATTTTCCTCTAGCCATTGTGAATAATACTTTTATCTTTAGGGGAATGCTGCAATAACAATAATAATGTTTAAGCTATACCTAGTGTTGAAGTTACGCCTATGAATGGTCCGTAACAATGCCTTGTTAAGTCACCTTGTTAAGGTGATTTGTCTGGGAAGGAAGAGGCAATAGCAACTCAACAGGTCTGTGCTAACACAAGTTATCAATAGCTGGGCACAATTATTCTTAATTTGTTTTCAGCAGCAGCAGTGGCGTGAAGATTTCTCTTTCTGAGCAACAAGACTCCTGAATCAAGTCATTATCCTGATTTTCTCCCCGATTTGCCGCTGTGATTGCCATTCTGGTGGGAGATACACCAATCTCACCACAGCAATGCTTAGTTGATATATGTAAGCTTGTAGATCTCTGTTAAGGGCCTTCCTGACAGAGGCGAGGGCCAGCAAAAAGGCACTGAAAACAAGAGATCCCCGGGGTATAAGAGCAACACTGCAGACTTGGAAAGGCTTTTAGCCAGTTGGGAATCCTGTGCATCGTGGTGCACAGCTGCACCATGCAGCTCMGGAAAGGAATGAAAAGCACAAACGTGGTACCCTGCTGGATCATCYGTCCTGCCCTTGCTCCAGGAGCACCCTCCAGACCTGGCGTGTCCAGCCCTGCAGCTGAAGGTACAGCTTGTCTCAATCAGGCCGTGGCTTGGGGCTGACAAGAGCCTGAGGGCAGCAAGCACCTCTGCCGCGCGCCCTCTGAGTTGCTGCGTGTGTTCTAGCTGTGTCTTAGTTGTTGTAGAGCTTCCTCCTCCTGTTAAGCGATCCTTGACGTAAAAGCTGAGCCAGGTTTACCAGTGCAGTGCTGCCAGTGACAGGAGGGATGCCTAATCCACCAGTGCTGCCATGTTCAGTGTCTCATAGCTTGYCAACGTGTCAGTTTGCAGAGCAGACAGTGGACACTCCATGGAAAAGCATATTTCTAACAGTCTGGTCACGGATTGTCTTCCATTGGTGGGAACCTGAAAAATCACCAGCCTTGAAGAAAGGTATTTTTCTATAATCTTTTGTATCTTTTTCCCTGCATTTAGGGCTTAAGCAAACTTGGAGCAGTGCAAAAATGTGGCATCCTGAACAGGAGACATAGGTGCAGGATGGTGCGTTGCTTTCTGGCCTTGTGAAAAGGCCAGTGGTTATGTGGAAGAGCTCAGCGGATCAATGTGTTTTGGATATGCAGCATCTAATATATGGCAGTTAACAGACTGTAAAGAAGGTTCCATAAATAGCTTTTCAAGTCGAATGTAAAACTGTTTTCCTGTGTTTCATATTCCCAGAATTCAAGCTAACCATTGCCATACTCCTCTCATCTCCAAAGTCTTCTRGAAATTCTGAGTTTTCTCTCTGTTGAAATACCATCCAAGTTACTAATGAGTTGGTTCAAGTCCCTGTCCACATATTCCTGCCAGCCAGTCGGCATCTCAGATGCTGCTGACTGATGTCTTGCTGTGGTACCGTGCCATGCTCTACCCTCCGGGACACTCTTGCTCTTCCTCTTATCTCCCTATTATTTTGGAGAATTTTCATCTTCTCCTCTTACAGTGTCTTAGGCCATCCTAAGAGTATTCTCCATCTCTACCTTATCTTTGAATATTCTCAAGCCCAAGTATAAATTTCATTAGCGACTCCATGCGACAATTTGCTCCAAACTCATCTCCTTGGGTCTGAAATAAAATCCGGGGCTTTGCCTCTAATGTCTTTTCAGGTCTTTTTGACCAGCAACTTAGTTCAAGATCACTAAAACCTGCCCTAGCTGAGCTCCTGATCTTCCACCCAGTTTTGCCTTGTTTTTCTTGCTTATTGCTTTCTAATGCTTAAGCTTATAACTTGTTGTCGGCATGTCATCGGTAGCTGACCTTTTATCTTCATCTTCAAATCCAGAGAGTGTCTGAAATTTGCCAATTTATCCTCTGTAACTTGTCAGTTATGTAGCCATACCACTTGCAGCTTATCACTTACTGCATTTTTATTGTCTCAATCACAAAAGTATTATTTTCTCAGCTTGTAAAATGCAATGGAAAAACAAACAAAACCAATCTTTTATCTCTCTTGGCTATGGCCAAGTCACTGTTCTCTTGATGTTCTCCCAGTGCCTGCATT